CATGTGTCTTTCCCGCTGCACACACCTTCCCCCACGTGGTGAAGAACATCACTCCTGACAGGTAGAATGGAAACTTGGGCTCCCATGATCAGAAAGGGTCTCCCTCTCTCGAAGGAATGGCACCTCAGGGAAAGTTTGGGGGGAGCTCTGGTTCAAGTCACATGCCTGCTCCCAGACCAACCTCGCCCTGGGCACCATGCTATCCCAGATGGGGAGAGGAGACAAGAATGTGTGGGAAGGAAGCCTCCCTTGATGGGACCCAGAGGCTGGAGCTGCAGAGAAACAGCGCTCTAGAGGGTGGGCTGTGGACAGGCTGGGAGAACATTTCCACAGATGTCTGCCGCAGAGTGGGGGGAAAAAATGATAGCTGGGGGGAAATGAAAGAAGATAAATTCAGAAACAAATTTAGCAAGCACTAAAAGAAACATTCATAAATCAGTCCAAGGGCGGAGGCTCTGGAAGGGACCCCTATGTCTGTGATTCTACCTTCCCGTCCCTTTTTACCTCCATACTTGCTCCCCATTCCCCCCAGTTATGCTCCAGTGAGATCCAGCCACACAGTCATTTCCCACATGCACCACCTGTTTCCTTTGCCCACAATGCTCCTCTCCGCAGTGATCCTCTCATTCATCGGGAACCGCGTGTGGATTGCTTTCTCTCGTCCAGGCGGTGTGCCCATGACTTCTTCCAGGACGGACTGCCAAGTCCCTCCTTTCCTCTGAATTCTAGCGCATTTCTCACTGCACAAGAATCGGTTTTCAAAATAGCATGCTTATTTATTTTATTAGTCTGTGAGCTACTACCTTCATCTTTTTTTTTGTTTTCCCCCCTCTGGTACCCAGCTCACAGCCTGAGCCATACGAAGTTTTCGCATATTTATAGAGTTGAACTTCTTACCAGACATCAGTGATCACATAAGCAGTATATTTCTTCCTTGGTCTCTTCCATGGCAGCATACATAGAGCTAAATGTTGTGTCCTCTTGCAAAGGCTAGCATGTTCCCAGTGTTAGGGAACCCAGCATCTCTCAATTTTTAACCCTTCTTCTCTGGGTTTTTATTTTTGATTTCCTGCATTGCTTTTGATTCGTATTAAAAGCTACATTCATTGCTCTTGGCGAAAAGAGGGAAATAGGGAAAAGATATTCTACTCATCAGTTAGTGCCCTATTCAGTATAAGGCTTCATGTTTTCCCAGCCCATGGGAAAGATTTCAATAACTCCATTTACCAGTTGTAGTTATAACAAATTCTCATCTGTGCCCAGCACCTTCTGACTTTCAAATCATTTTAACACCACTATTTCACTTGTCTGGATATTTTTTATTTGGTCTTATTAGTGATGAAGGACCATTTACATGAAATTATTCAGATTTTAATAGCCAACCACCTTCCTGTTGTATTAATTCATTTTGGAAGCCACCTGCACAAATGAGAACAATCTTTTTCAGCATAATACGATTATCTGGACGTTTTAGCAGGTAATGCTGAAAATGTGCATCTGATCTTCTCTTATGTTATATACAGAGAAGTAATCTTTGCTTAAAAATGCCAAGTGAATTAATGGGGTTGGTTAATGATTAATCTCTCTTTCCAAGTGATGCTCAGCATTCTGTTGACGTCCACACTGGTTACTCTGATCCAACAGGGCTCAACCAAGTTCATTATCCAACCGACTGGTCTGGGACTGCACAATCATTAGCATGCAAATTACCACAAACAAAGAACAGGTAACAATGACTTCCCTTCCTGTGGGTCACACGGTTAGGAGGAAATGAAGCATGTTTTCGTTTAAGAAAATTTATTTTGAGAACATTCAGTCTAACTCATTGAGGAATTAGATTTCGGTGCTTTGAACGTCTGGCTATTTTAAACACAGAGTCATAGAATTTTAGCAGGGAACTTTCTAGTACACAGTTTAGAGGTAAACTTAAGAAACTTCCTCATTCTCCCTATGTATTGTACATGTTAGGGAATTAAGGGTTGGAGTGGAAGAGAGAGGTGCTGCTTTTGCATCTTGAGCGAAGTGGAAGAGTCGTGGGTTGGAGGGAAGATGTGGATTGCGGAGAAGGAGAAGCAGTCACAGTCACGCCATTCTTAATGTCTCAGAGTAGAACACAAATGCCCACCATCCCTGCTAGGGAGAACTCTAGTTTTCACAATGTTTCCCACCCCAGGCCTTTCTGGGCAGAGGTCAGGGGTGGGGGGGTCCTCGAGGAAGCCAAATCTCACACAAACCTGTCTTGGTTGCCTCTTGTCACACCGTCGTCCACTTCCCTGCTACCTGCAGTCCAGACTTCCGTCCCGATCAGCACCCATCTCTTCCGGTGACCCTGGTCAATTTCTTTTCTTCTGGCACTGCTGCCAACACCATGGCTGGCATCCAGAGTTAGCCTCAGTGCAGGCCTCTGCCCTCCTCTCTTTCCAAAGGCCATTCCTGCCCTTCCTTACCACCTGCATGTGGGGGCAGAACCCAGAAGGAGTTCTAGCTCTTGCTGCAGTAACTGCCTACTTCTCCAGAAACTCACCATTTCCCTGTGTTGCTAATTCATCTACTACTTGAACTGAAAACCAACTTGCTATCAACTGACAACCAAGCCAACCCAAACCAAAGAGTTGTGTTGGTACCATTTGGCTGGCCTGCCTCCGGGTGCATCCCTCACCACCCACACACTCTAGCCCTCACTGGCCTTAAAGCCAGAGCTCGAATTCCTTCTAGCCACCTGAATGAGGGAGAAGTTCCTTCCTTAGCCAATCCAGAGCCCACCTCAATTCCTGGCCTAAGATTACCAGTTCTCCTAGATAATTGAAAGTGAGACACCCATACCTTCCTGACCTGCCAAGATGGGGGTTTCTCCTCCGGCCCATGTGGTCTCAACAAGGCCATACTGAGAAATGGATAATGGTACATTTCTCTAGGTCTGCGTTTCTCGATTTTATACATTATTAAAAGTAAAACCCCTGGCTACAAAGGAAAATCACTGGTATAATGTGGGATAATGGCAAAGACAGGGCTGGGGCCTTCTCATTCCTACATTACTGTTGTTAAACTCCAACACACTACAACATTGAGGAAAAGAAAATGCTTAGGGAAAAACACAGATCCTCACCCCGTCACTGTTTCATCAGCCGAGTCTCTAAAATTGTAACTTAAACAGCATGTTTGTATATCAAATCATATTCATGTTTATATGATACTTGAATGGGAAAATCCCTGACATTCCCAATTTTCATTGTGAAGAGCATTCTGCTTTTGTTCCTGGTGCTTAAGTTGTTTACATAAAGCACCAGAATTTGGTCAAAGGGAGAGCCAACCGCAGGGCCTCAGCACTCTTGCCGACTGTGACACATCTCGGAGGCTGTGCACATAACGTGTCTTTGACACTCTGACTTCTTTCTTGTTTTCTGGGCCAATGTCTATTCCTAACTAGGAGTTTCCCCAGTCACCCTATTCACAGGGCTCAGAAAGAGGAGGAATTTGTTGGCTGAGTTGGCATGTTGGTTTCTGAAGCTGTTTCTGAAATTCTGACCATAGCAACAGGAAATCAAAGGCAAGATACTGGAAATAAGGGCAAATTAGATATAGCAGGAAATTGAAGGCAAGATACTGGAAATAAGGGCAAATTAGATATAACTGTTTACAGCCGACGTTAACTTAAAGGAAGATCTTTTTTGGATCAAATGCAAAAAAAAAAAAAAAAAAAAAAAAAAAAAAAAAAAAAAAGGCTAGCAAATCTAACAAGACCTGCTAAAGATGAATATGTATTCGGGGGGCGGGCCGGGGGGAAAAGAATAAAGGCTTGTTACAAGTAACATTTTGGAGAAAAGCATAATAAAATGTAATGATACCCAAGAACTTCTTTGTCAATAGCAAAGAATAGTCTATGAGGAACTTCGTCAAGGAACAAGATGTGTCCAGGACCCAAGTGATTCCCTGCCATGCCACCAGTCTTCTCCTTGATGGGGGAACATCAGGCTGTTGTGTGTGACTCAGTGATATCGGCCGCAAGGCCTTCTTTCTAATCTCCCGTCTCTCCACTTCCAGCTCATACTCCACACGTGCACGCACACACAGAACCCACCCTGCCCCAGCAACCTTCAGAGGACAATCTGCCTTCCTAAGGAGACTTTTCTGTAAAAGGTAGTGAGCGGATCAGCCCACAGGTTCACTCTAGCATCTTTGTCATTTCTGCTTCCTATTAAAAATGAATGGATATATCATCAGTTCAGTCTGTCCCGCAGGAACTGATGGGCTTTGCTTGAGCTAAAAAGAAAAAACAAGGTTCCAGACCAAGGGGTGTAGTCATGCCCCAGGACAATACTGAGCAGCCCCTGACCTCCCTAGAGAACATCTTTGTCTCACTGATTTCCAATTTTCATCTGTAAACAACCATATCATATTTATTTTTTTGTGAACATTTAGGTAAACATCTATATATGTGTGCACACATATATACACATATATATATACAAACTATGTATCTAGAAAGTGTCTAAAATATTGCAAAATTGTTTTATATAGATTTCATTTAATTCTTTAAAGTAATTCTTTAATGCAGTTAATATTATTTTCATTCTATAGATCTGGTGACTGATACTTAGAGAGTTAAAGTGATTTGCCTAAAGTCACACAGCTGATAAATGTCATAGCTAAATATGTGAACACAGACAAATCTGACTCCAAAATTCTTGCTCAGTCAATCTCAAAGTATTACCTTGTGCAAACTAGAGCTCTCCCCACTGATAATGTTATCCCATTTTAACACAGAAACCTGAAATGTAACTTCTCTTGCTAACTTAATGAAGTAAATTGGAATGAGATTGAGGAGGCTCTGTGTAAATAAAAGAAACAAACAAAAAGATAATGAGCAGATATTCAATATTCACATATAGAGCAAGATATAAATTCAAACTTTTGATAAAGATTTAAGTAAACAAATACACAGAAACAGAGGCGTAGAGAGACTCAATAACTTGCCTAAGGTCATACAGCTAGTCAAAAACATGGTCCAGATTCAGAATCGGGTCTCTGCATCTACTAAAGATGTGGGAGCCAGCAGGCTGACCACTCCGAGAACTCATCATTGTGCTTTCCCTGGTAGGTGATTGAATGCACCTTATGATGCTACAGGATGTGAGAACAAGGGGGTGGGGTGGGGTAGGTGAAGGGAGTAGATTTTTACAATTAATAAAAGTACTAGCACTGACACTATTTTTTGTTGAATAAAATAAACATACTAGGAATCAATAAATAACAAAAATACTAATTCGTAACAATAGGAAGACAGCTAAACCACCAAGGCCCAGCCAACTGGTGGGATCCTGAAATGAACGTCCCTTGAAAGCAGCACGTCTTTGCACTCTGTCAATGAAGAGATTGTTTACGTGAAATGAAGCTGAGTTTAAAAGAAGGCAGGAAGAAAGGAGAAAACTTAAGACCACAGTTCTATGAGTGTGCATGTGAATAACAAAAACATTGCGAAGGGAATTTGGAATGCTATCACTGGTTCAGAATGAGTTGAAAACTCTTCATGCACTTTTTATTTCCTTTGAAGTGATTTGTCTTTCCAATTATTTATATTTTTTATTTTGAAATAATGTCAGGCTTACAATAGAGTTGCAAAAATAGTAGAAAGAACTATCATAAGCCTTTCACCCCAGCTGTTAACATTTTGCCACATTTTCTTTATCGTTTCTCCTCTCTCTCTCCCTCTATGTGTGTGTGTGTACATATACATGTATACATATGTTTATTATCAATATTATTGTTTCTGAGCCATTTGAGAATAACTGGAAACACTAGAGTCCCTTCTGCTCAATTCTTCATGTATTTACTGAGAAAAAGGACTCTCTCTTACATACCACATTATAATTATCAAATCAAAAAATTATCATTGATATAATTATCTAAGCTATAAACCTTACTCATTTTCCCCCAATTATCCCAAAATTGTCCTCTATGGAAAGAAAGAATTCTAGTTTGGGGTCCAACCCAGGATCACATGTTACATTTAGTTGTCAAGACTTTATGTCTCAGAGGAACTGAGAGAAGATGATGTTGGAACGGGAGCAGGCCTGTTGGAAATCAAGAAAATTGGAGATGAATACTTTGCATTCATCACTGAGTGCAAAGACCCCAAGGCCTGCACCATTCTTCTCCGGGGGGCTAGCAAAGAGATTCTTGCGGAAGTAGAATGCAATCTCCAGGATGCCATGCAAGTGTGTCGCAGTGTTCTCTTGGACCCTCAGCTGGTGCCAGGGGGTGGGGCCTCTGAGATGGCTGTGGCCCATGCCTTAACAGAAAAATCCAAGGCCATGACTGGTGTGGAACGTTGGCCATACAGGGCTGTTGCACAGGTCCTAGATGTCATCCCTCGTACCCTGATCCAGAACTGTGGGGCCAGCACCATCGGTCTACTTACCTCCCTTAGGGCCAAGCACACCCAGGAGAACTGTGAGACCTGGGGTGTAAATGGTGAGACGGGTACTTTGGTGGACACGAAGGAACTGGGCATATGGGAGCCATTGGCTGTGAAGCTGCAGACTTATGAGACAGCAGTGGAGACGGAAGTTCTGCTACTGCAAATTGATGACATCGTCTCAGGCCACAAAACGAAAGGCGATGACCAGAGCCGGCAAGGCAGGGCTCCTGATGCTGGCCAGGAGTGAGTGCTGGGCAAGGCTACTTCAATGCACAGAACCAGCAGAGTCTCCCCTTTTCCTGAGCCAGAGTGCCAGGAACACTGTGGACGTCTTTGTTCAGAAGGGATCAGGTTGGGGGGCACAGCCCCCCAGTCCCTTTCTGTCCCAGCTCAGTTTTCCAAAAGCCACTGGCATGTAATTCTTCTCTATTGTAAGGTTTCCATTTAGTTTGCTTCCGATGATTAAATATAAGTCATTTGAAAAAAAAAATGAAATGTTTCTACTTTAAAAAAGTATTATTTTAGAGCAGTTTTAGGTTCACAGTAAAATTGAGTGCGAAGTACCGAGTTCCCACATGCCCCCTACCCCTCCACACACACAGCCTCCGCAGATATCGACATATCCCATCAGAGTGATACATTTGTTATGGTCGGTAAACCGACATTGACACATCATTTTTATCCAGAGTCCATAATTTACATCAGGGTTTACACTTGTGATGTACATTCCATGGGGCTGGACAAATGTATAACAAAGTGTATCCAGTTTTATAGTATCATAGGGAATAGTTTCACTACCCTAAAAATTCTCCCTGCTCTACCTATTCATCCCTCCTTCCCTACCAATCCCTGGAAACCACTAATTTTTTACTATCCCAGTAGTTTTGCCTTTTATGGGATGTCATATATTCTAGAACCATACAGTCTGTAGACTTTTCAGATTAGCTTTTTTTTGCTTTATCTAAAAAAAAAAAGTGGGATACATGTGCAGAATATACAGGTTTGCTACATAGGTATACGCGTGACACGGTAGTTTGCTGCACGTAGTGACCTGCCCTCTAAGTTCCTTCCACTCACCCCCTACTTCCTGACGGGCCCTGGTGTGTGTTGTCCCCTTCCCCGTGTCCACATGTTCTCAGTGTTCAGCTCCCACTTATGAGTAAGAATATGCAGGTTTGGTTTTCTGTTCCTGTGTTAGTTTGCTGAAGATGATGGCTTCCAGCTTCATCCATGTCCCTGCAAAGGACATGATCTCATTCCTTTTTATGGCTGCATGGTATTCCATGGTGTATATATACCACATTTTCTTTATCCAGTCTATCTTTGATGGGTATTTAGGTTGGTTCCATGTCTTTGCTGTTGTGAATAGTGCTGCAATAAACATATGTGTCCATGTGGTTTTCTGTTTCTGTGTTAGTTTGCTGAAGATGATGGCTTCCAGCTTCATCCATGTCCCTGCAAAGGAAATGATCTCATTCCTTTTTATGGCTGCATAGTATTCCATGGTGTATATGTACCACATTTTCTTTCTCCAGTCTGTCACTGATGAGTATTTAGGTCGTTTCCATATCTTTGCTATTATAAATAGTGCTGCAATAAACATACGTGTGCATGTGTCTTTATAGTAGAATGATTTATATTCCTCTGGGTATATACCCATTAATGGAATTGCTGGATCAAATGGTATTTCTGGTTCTAGATCCTTAAAGAATCGCCATACTGTCTTCCACAATGGTTGAACTAATTTACATTCCTACCAACAGTGTAAAAGTGTTCCTATTTCTCCACGGCCTCACCACTATGCATTGTTTCCTGATTTTTTAATAATCAACATTCTGACTGGCGTGAGATTGTCTCATCGTGATTTTCATTTGCATTTCTCTGATAATTAGTGAATCTCACAATCTTGGCTCACTGAAACCTCCCGTGTTCAAGCGATTCTCCTGCCTCAGCCTCCCAAGTAGCTAAGATTACAGGCCCACCACCACACCCAGCAATTTTTTGTTTTTATTTTTAGTAGAGATGTGATATCACAATGTTGGCCAGGCTGGTCTTGAATTCCTGACCTCAGGTCATCTGCCCACCTTGGCCTCCCAAAGGACTGGGATTACAGGTGTGAGTCCCTGCGCCCGGCCTCCTTTACCCAATTTTGATGGGGTTGTTGATTTTTTTTCTTTTAAATATGTTTAAGTTCCTTGTAAATTCTGGACATTAGACCTTTGTCAGATGGGTAAATTGCAAAAATTTCCTCCCATTCTGTAGGTTGCCTGTTCACTCTGATGACAGTTTCTTTTGCTGTGCTCTTTAGTTTAATTAGATCCCATTTGTCAATTTCTGCTTTTGTTGCAATTGCTTTTGGCATTTTTGTCACAAAGTGTTTACCCATGCCTATGTCCTAAATGGTGTTGCCTAGGTTTTCTTATAGGGTTTTTTTGTTTTTGTTTTTGTCTTTGTTTTCTGAGATGGAGTTTTGTTCTTATTGTCCAGGCTGGCGTACAATGGTACAATCTCAAATCACTGCTAACCTCTGCTCCCTGGGTTCAAGTGATTTCCTGATTCAGCCTCTCGAGTAGCTGGGACTACAGGCAAGCACCACCATGCCGGGCTCTTTTTGTATTTTTAGTAGAGATGGCGTTTCTCCATGTTGGTCAGGCTGGTCTCAAACTCCTGACCTCAGGTGATCCACCCACCTCAGCCTCCCAAAGTGCTGGGATTACAGGTGTGAGTCACTGTCTCAAGGCTTCTTCTAGGGTTTTTATGGTTTGGGGTTTTATAGTCAAGTCTTTATTCCATCTTGAGTTAATTTTTGTATAAAGTATAAGGAAGGGGTCCAGTTTCCGTTTTCTGCATATGGCTAGCCAGTTTTCCCAGCACCATTTACTGAATAGGAGATCTTTTCCCCATTGTTTGAGACCAAACAGGCACACAGTCCTAAAATACTTGTATAACTAAAGCCTGGGTATAATTTATGGGTATAAATTATTACCCTAATTATTCAATAATTTACATATACAGAGCCATCCCAACAAGTTAGAGTAGCGTTACTGACAGCTATCATTTACCAAATGCTTACTAAGTACTAGGCACTATTCCGGGATATTTCTCACTACAACTCAAGGAGGAAAGTGCTGCTATGGATTTACAGTATTTTATGGGTTCTAGGGTTCTCTCTGAAATCAGGAGGGGGCTTACAGTCGGTGGTGTTTCACAGTCATTGTCATATTGGCATAATTGTTATTCTCTGCATGCACAGCTTAGACTGAAAACCTTTGGATGACCCTTCTAGTAAGATCAAGAAAGTTCAGCATCGAGACTTGCAGAATGTCCTGGAGGCAGCACTGGGACACATCTGAGAAATGCTTCAACATCAAGTCCGGAGGATGAACGCGTGAAGAAAAACATGGACATCGACTCTTAGTTGTAAGTGATTCAGAAGACTGACTATGATCCAGTTTTAGGAAAAGCTTAACTAATATATGCGTGAGTGTTATATGATAAAAATCTACAACTAAATAAATTGAAAAGAGCTCTTTCAATAACATGAAATTAAAAATTTAAGTATTAACAAAGTATCATGTCATAGTTTAATTTGCAAAGGGAAACAACGGACTCTTTTTGTCCCTTTTAAGAATACGTATTATCACAGACAAGACCTGGGCCCCAGGCCTTTTTCTAAATTTAAAAATGAAAATCAGAAGGAATATCAATGTGCAAAATAATGAAAATGTCTGCATAAATTGAATTAGGGAAAAAATAGAACAAGATATAAATTTGAGTTAAAGGTGGCCTTGGGTGAAATATACCAGCAGCATATTCTTGACTTCTGCTCCCTGCAGTGTCCCCACAAAACACTGTGCCTCACATATGAGGGCACCTACTGTCGTTTCAGCTCTAATGGTGAAAGCGAGGCACACTACACAGCTTGAATGCTCTTTTTTATTTGCTTCTTGCACCTCATAAATACATTCAATTGTTCAAATTAAATTGTATCTAAGGCAACTCTACGCAAAAGATAATATTTCCTGCTCTCACAGGGCATCTGCCCTATTTATTCCAGACCACAGTCAAGGAAAACATACTTATCTTTGCATTTTCTTATTTTGCTGGGAGCAGAACCAACGGTAAAGGACACTAAACTTAATTAGCGCATTAACATAATCACATCAAGTGTCGACATAGAACTTGACAATAGGAAATTGGGTAAATCAACGCGAATGTTTTCAGCCCGATGCTTTATAATTAGGGGAAAGCAAAGGATAGCTTAAATACTGCTAGATGTGTTTACTGTGGTTGCTTCTAATTTATGAGGTTGGAATTCTTGACACCAAAGAGTGCTTAAATTTATCTTCATATTTAAATGAGACAAAAGTTTAAGCACACATATTTTTCTACTTAGAGACTTCTTTTTGACCTTCTGTGCTAAATATAGATGCTCTTTTGCTTTCAAAAGCACATACCAAAGCTATAATGCTATGGTGAGAAGTTTTGCAAATGAAAACAGGCAGCTATAGCATTTTTCAAGAGCTCAGAATCCAGAAGACATAAAGTAGGCAAACGACATGCAAAACCTGATGGAGGTTTTTTGAGGGTTGGGCTGTCCTTTATTTTATATGAGACTTTTTCCAGGAATTTGCATGAATACATCACCCGCAGCTCCTTCCTCCCAACCAGTGAAGGTGGTCTGGAATTATAAGTTATTTTCTTAGGGAAGGCGGAAAATTAGATGTACCAGGTGCTAGTTTTGTGACAATCTGGTTGACAAATAAAAGACAGAATGTGTGGAGAGTAGACACTATACTAATTGCAGAAACAGGTCTTGGTGTTGCACAAAGTTGCACCTGTGGTTTACTTGCTATGCGTCCCTAAGAGATTTGCTTCACCTAAACCTCAATTTCCTCATCTGTAAGATAGAAATAATGGCATCTATTTCATTGCACTAGTACGGAAATCATTTGAGGTAATATAGGTAGCACGTTCCTGGCACGTGGTTAACTGCTCAGTAGATATTAACTAGCTGGAATGAGAATGAGATACCATTATGGGGTTAGGATGTGAGTGGTTAATCAAAGATGCACCTGGAAGATGGAGACCCAGTAGCTCCATGCAGCCAGTGCCTTGGAAGGCCCACAGCTTTCCTTATGTACTTCCCACAGGGAAACTTCAGGACAAACTCACTCCAGCCTTTGTTCTGAACGGCTTGTGTCCGTTAATTCCTGGCACATAATTCTTTGTTGTTTTTGGTCTCAGTGGTAACTGTCTAATTATTTCTTAGACTTCTCTTCATTCTGTAGGTCTGGGGTTTTTTTCCCCATCCCTGTTGATATAGGAGGTAGA